GCTTCCATCGCCACCACGTGGCTGTCAAAAATGCAACCGCTTCAGAAAATGTCCTCTTCTTCATGACTATGTTCACGTTTGTGAGCATTTTAATCGGTTTTCTCGTCCAACAACCTTTCCTTATCTACAGCCCCTGATTTATTCGAGAGTTTCACTCAAAGGTATAGCGATGACGCGTAAGTCTAAGTAAATACAGTTTAAAGATCTTGACAGAGACTGAACACGCCTGATACACGACTCCCTCCAGAGTTCTGACAAGTAAGCGGAATATAACTTAAATTTCGATGGATTCCTCGCAATCAGTGTTAGAAAAAACGGTTAACTTTTCGGATTAAAAACTAAAATCTACTGTAGTCAAAGAAAATCGCTGATATGCAATTTGCAACTTCGAGGTCGAAAGAAATGACCTTGGTAAAAAACGAAATACACCATGTTTAATAAATCGATCCCTATCCATCATGGTAAAAAATAAAAGTTAACCGCTAGGAGTAGAAGCAGAAATTTCTCAGAACATCGCTGAGGTACAACTGAAATTTCGAAATGGAACAGTGGAACGCAAATAAATTAGATAAATGGATGTGCTGGATTTCAAAGCAGCGAACGAATGAAGAGACATCTTCTGATGCGAATTCAAGTTCTATGGAAGTGAATGGTTTTTCTGTCGCTCGGTAATCATAAATCCCCGCAGACTGCAATTTGCTTCTAGGTAAAAAATCGTTTCGATCGAAGAATTGGCTTTGAAACTGGCCAAGTTAACTCAAGCGTCGATTCTGAGACCTGAAAGGCACATGACAAATGCGCAACGACGTCTAATCGTTGTGACTGGCTCGGAATTCTTTTCACTCGCAGCCGATTTGGGGACGAGCTTAAAAGAGGCGTCTTCACTTCAATTCATTCCTTTGACAAACCTTGTGAAATTTAGCCCAAACCCTGTAAGATAAGTGTTTATGGCGTGATAACCTTCAAGTGCAGAGAGACGACTGAACTGCCCCCAGAGGTCGATGTTCCGTGGTCAGCCATCTCTGATGCCTTCATGTAAACTTGCCAACTTCAAGAAGGCAGTAAGGAAGGAGGTCAGCAAAGGACAACGTTCCAAGGTCTTTTGAGGCCATTGGTCAATGCCAAAGCAATTTTGAAATCAACCTTCGCCGATCAGCTTCAGCTTAAAACGCCCGATTTGACTTTTAGTGACAGGACGTTGAATATTCACCGAAATGTCATTTGGCATAAACGAAACGCAAAAGGCGAGGATCAAATTCGAAACTTAGGTGAGGACTTTAATTTCTTGATTCATCGACCATCGTGACGGTATAAAAGAAGACGAGGCAAGAAGATGCGCCTTCCGGGCAATATCTGAACATCTTGTAAGCAGGCATTAGTCTTCCACCAGCAGCAGTGCTGCAACCAACGATTGTTGAATAGAGATTCAAGTACACCAGATCACTAGGTGAAAAATTAGGAAATGTCTATAAACTAAACTTAGAAAACAGTGATGCACATCAACACGCCTGCCTTTTACACGCTATTGGAGTTTCAGTCAATCAGTCACTACGTTTGATCCGCTTCAGAACCGCTACTCCGATGCATTTTGTCCTAAAACAGAAAGCGTTTCACTGTACTGCATAACGTAAATTGACTCCCAGTGTCGGTTCCATACATGCGTTCCATGGTCTTATCTGGGATAGCTTTCAGAAGGACAAAGACAAGGCCACGTTGCGCATACTAGCAACGCCTGAAAGGCATCGTGTGTACGTTTTGCAGTTCGTAACTGAGTCAGTACAACCGTAAGAGCTCATACGCATTAAAAAAAACTAATAAATCGAGTGCGGTTGTAATCCATTAAAATAGACTATCCACTTTATGATGAAAGCGATAGACTGCGCAACCCAGATTACGAAAGCGGAAATAAATGTAGTACTAAAAGAACGGTCTCATAACCTACATCACCGGTGATAATCTATCAGTTGCCGTTGGTCACACGCATCTGACCTAAAACAACGGAGATGTTCATACGATATTTCAAACGCCACGGAGGCAGTGGAGCAAAAATTGAATATGCAGCTTTCAAATTTAGATGACGAGTTTTAATCAAGCCGAAGAATAAACGTCACTCGTTAATATCACATTATCTCTTAATTCGGTTGTGATAGGAATTCACCACCGAGGAGAATTCCGGCCGGAAATAAATGGATATAAAGTTCTTAACATGCAAAGAGAGAAGGGCAGCACAACAGGAACAATATCAGTAGGGTGTTTAACGTTGATTGTCAAGTTGAATAGTCAACCGTCTGATAGGTCAAGGCAAATTGCAGTCCAGCAGCAGCATTGCCGTATCCGCTGCCCCATTCTGCTATTACAACATCAGGTCCCTATATGGTAGTAAGTCAACGACTTAGCACTCGTTCCTCGGTCAGATGCCCCAAATCTATGTCAGGTGAATTTCTTGCTCAACGGCATTGGTGGCTAAAACGACCATTCGGAATTCCAACTGACATCGATACTGGTCTGAGATCTCCCCGTCACAGTACACTAGTGCTACAGTGCTACAGCTTGATAGGCTTATGCGTACACTCCACGGCAGCAATTCGCCTTGGCCACCGCAAGATGACGTGTTCAGCACTGGATGCAGCCATTAACCCCTAAGCAACGAACTGCTCTCAGGCCTACGGATACACTGAACCGCGATACAACGTTGGAATGACTTATTCCTTGAAAGGAGCGACGGAATGACAGTGGAAATAACTGTTGCCTTTAGGAGGAACCGGAGCTCAAAGACTATGAAACTTCATTTGATTGTTATCTGCCTTGGAAAGCTCTATGCAAATCTGCAATATTCACCAAGCAATGCTTTTAGCTAACAATTCATATGGCTATGCATCTCGACATATTTCAAGTTAAGGTTCGTTAGGAGCTACTCCATAGCACGAGTACAATAGTATCAGTAGCAGAACCAAAACAAATATAAATCTTTAAATAGCAGACCAATCTTTCAGAAAGTATTGAATATTGTCCACCAAATGAACGCGGCAGGCAAACTGCCGAGTGTACAACGCCCTGAGAGTGCAGGAACGCGTGATCATTACATTAATCATTAACTAACGATATGGGTCGAGGCATAGTCACTTTACTTTGCTACAGTTCTAGGGAGTTTTGTAAGAATAGATGTATTTCAAGTTCTAAAGGCTAGCATTCATAGACTGCAAAAGTAGGTACACAAATAAAGATCATGCGGTTCAAAAGTTAATGCTCATTTAGACTCATGGGAAAGAGGACCACAGATATCGTTAGCTCATTTTGTACATTATTAATGTCAATCTGATTTATGCAGCCGTAAAGAACACAAGAAAGTCGAGTTCCGAAAATGACAGATCCCAGTAGAGCATATAGCTATTCAAGTGGGAAACCATGCGATGACAGCGATGGCCCTAGATGTTGTATCAAAGAAAAATGTAAGAGTTTCTATACATGATCTTATGGTACGCGACCGTCATCCCGCTTCAGAATGCGGAGCTTTTGTTCTGATTAGTGCGAGACACACTGGTGTATGAGAGTAAGATAGGTTTGTCAATGATAGCGCTAGTCTAGAGGCATTCACTAACACTGCCCTGTATTCAGAGGGATGAGAAACCGTTCTATTCGGGAACGAATATGAGTGATGATGCGCCATCCTTTCCTCAGTGTTTGTTGTCAAATTTTCACTCGATTTGGGCAATCACTTTTCCAACTTTTGGTGCAGTTCTTGTGTGTATAACAGCAAACTGCAGGAATGAACTACTGCACAAGCTCCACTCTAGCTTTTGATGGAAGAAAGATGCCAGTAATTTTTCAGGACAGACCAAGACCAAAGGCATAGTTTGTAATCCGATTGCGTTTTTATACTTCATGGCACTTCCTCGTTTCTGCTCCCTCTAAAGCAAACTTTCTCCGTCACATCGCTAAGGGCGAGACTGACTGCCACTTCGGTACTTAAGGCACTGACA